AGACCCCTGCCTTACACTGTAACAAGAGTGATATTTGTAAAACACATTTCTAACTATGTTTCTACCAAGCTTAAAACTCTTAAGTACGAATTCCAGATGTCTGAAGATGGCATCCAGGGACTTGATGATCTTTCCTCTGCTCCCCTTTTCAGTCTGGAGCCATTTCATTCTTACTCTCACCCTCTTTTGTTACTGGAGTACTGAATCACTTTTAGTTTCTTGTCTGTCCCTGTCCCTTTCTTGCCTTCCACCCTGTCAGAGAGCTCCAACTGCCTGGACTCCTTTCTAATCTCATTTCCTAATTTCCGACCAGTCTTTAAGCCTCATCCTGTAGTTGACTTCCTACAGGAAAAGTTTGCCATGCCCCCATACCAAGGCCAAGTATGTTGTGTCTCCCATATGGCCCTCTAGAACTCCTGTGCTTAGACCTATTTTATTACTATCACATTCTTTTGTAATTGTTTATGGGGCTTACATCATAATTTGTATTATTTGTTACTGAAACCCTATTACCAAGTACAGCCCAATTATCATTGCTATTATGATCAATTAATAAATACTTGTTTAATTAACTAGTAATAAAGTGAGTGACTGATTGAGTGATTTTATTGGCAAATATTCCTAAACCAATTTGGAGTGTGATTTTAGGCCTGAGGTTTAGCACATAGTTCAGCATAGCTATAATGTTGGATTTAATCAAGGTCATGTTTTATAACAGGAAGAATATAGCATTGAACATTTTTTACATGAAACTGCATAACATTATATAGCAGACATTTTTTGAACAATTTAGCTTATAATATTTTTATATGGCAGTAAGTAGAATAGAAATTCATTAAATTAAACAAAAAAATTACATAATGATTTTATTGCTGTTATATATATATTGCTTTTTAGCTTGGATCTAAAAGGTTTATTAAAAAAACCTTGATATTTTAAATAATCCATTAGACAAATAACCAGATGTTAACAGTAATTTGTGGAGTACTTGTCGTGTCCTAGGCTTGTGTTGTACATTTTATGTATATTATTTTACCAAGCTCTTCTCCTCAAAACAACTTTGAAATAGGTACAATTCTCCCCATTTTACAGATTGAGAAATAGAAGATTAAAAATAGAGTGGTGAGGGTTCAAACTCAGGACTCCAGATTTGCCAAAATCTCCTTTTTCAATTTTATTTGATCCTTGGGATAAATAAATAATAAACTCTCCTCTTGCCTCCCATATATATTTGCAATTAAGTAAAGACATTGTTTTAATACATTTTTGCCCATAAGAAAGCAAAAGGTATTAAAATTTATACTCTCGGAGTATAACTTACACTGTCAGAAACATACTCACCAGAAGTAGAAATTATATAGGAAAAAGAATAACAATCTATAGATGCTAACAGAAATGACATAAAGTATGACAAAAGACATTAAATATGTATAATGGAGTCTTGGGGCAAAGAAAGCTCAAAGAATTTGGTTTGGTTGGCTTTCTCCTTTGGGAATAGAAAAGGAATAGTATAACTTTGGGCAAAGGCACCAGATTAATGATGGTGCCAACACCGTACCAATAATTTAAAAAATGATTTTCTAAAGAAGTAGCAAAGTTTAAAAGCAGATGTAACGGTGTTTCTCATATTTGCAATGCTTCTGAAAAGTTTCCACAGAAAAAATACATCTTTCTATAAATACACACATATATGTTCGTAAATATATATATTTACAAATAAATATATTGTTTTAGCATATAGTAAATGCCATTCTAGTTAACCATGAGAAGTATGTACATGTTGTAAAAGACTGGAAGATTGAAATGAAACTCACGCTAATGAGAGAAATTTAAATATAAGACCCTAAAATACATGTGGAGGATTAAAGTAGTATGTTGTAGAAGTGAAAGCATTTTGACTGCAGAGTCAGTGAAGTCCAGTATTTGGGCAAGTTACCTTTTTAAGCTTGTTTCTTCATGTTGAAAATGGAGATGATGCTAGTGCTGACCTCAGTAGGTTGCTGTGAGAATTAAATGAGATGAATTAATGTGTCTGGCTCTTAGTAAGAAAACCAATGCCTGTAATTATGAATGGTGTTTATGGATATATTTTTATCACTCTGCTACTACTTCTCTCAAAAAGAGAAAGATTTTTTTGTTTTGATTCCATATATCATATAGCATCAATTGGATTTCTATATCTGTGAAGACTTAACTCAGTTTTTTTTTTTTTTTTTTTTGACACCAGCCACATTATACTAGACTGAGAGTTTCAGAGAATGCAGTTATTTTGGTCAGCTACAAGATCACATCAGCCTGCATTTCTACTTTAGGAAAGAGTAAACTTTGTTTTAAAATATATCTTCTGTTCTCATTTCATTTTGTTAAACATTAAAAGTTTGAATGTTTTCTTCATTAATTAAAGAACTTGTTTGTTTCTGGTGAATTTTAACTGCCAGATTATAAACAACTTCAGACAATGTCTACTGATCTCTTAAATTTGAATCAGTAAGACTGCCTGCAAGAATCACCTATTACTGTGAATCAAAATAATCTTTCCAAAACATAAAACCATGCCAACATGTCAGATGATTCTGGTTACATGCTTTAAAGTAGAGGAATTAGGAACTAGGGAAGATGATTTTTTTTATTTGATTATGCTTAGTCATTAAAAAAACAAAACAAGTCACTCATTTATTCAGAATGAGCAATTAGGTCTAAGTTTTATTTCTTAATAGGCCATTTAGCCTTCTGTGTTGGAATAGTTCAGAAGTATAGTCAATTTTATGTAAACATCCAAAATTCTCATTCTTTTATGGATTTAGCTAAACCATCTTTTTAAACAACATGGTTTTAAGTAAATACTTACAAAGAAATATTTTAATAAGGGTATTTCTGTATTTTGATTGAATTTAGCTTGAACTTTGCCAGTAGTATCTTTCCCAGTAACTTTATTGTATGAATCCAAACCAAATAACACTTTGAGAAAAGAAGCACATTAAGGACTTTGATTTAAGCCTTTTATCAAGCCTCTGTGGTATGAAGAAAAGAGTTCAAAGTTAGAGTTCTAGCTTTATTACTTTGGGCAGGGTAATTAACATTTCTGGACCTCCTGGCCCCCATCTTTACAACTGTGGAACTACTATTTACTTCAAGGGCTATTGTGAAGGGTTAAAATAGATAATGCAGGTAAAATGCCAATATTTCTCATCTCCCCTTTCTGTCAACAGCTTGAGATTGTTTCTGATAGTTTTGTTTTGCTTTTTGTTTTTGCTTTTTTTTTTTTTTTTTTTNTTTTGAGACAGAGTCTCACTGTGTTGCTGATGCTGGAGTGCAGTGGCTCAGTCAGGGATAACTGCAGCCTGGGCCTCCCAGACTCAAGCCATCCTCCTGCCACAGCTTCCTGAGTAGCTGGGCCTATAGGCACATGTCACCGTGCCAGGCTAATTATTTTGATTTTGATTTTTTTGTAGGGATGGTCATCTCATGGTGTTACTGAAGCTGGTCTGAAACTCCTGGATTCATGCAATCCTCCCACCTCAGCCTTCCAAAGTCTGGGATTATAGGCATGAACCACACCATGCCTGGCCTATGGATGGATGGCTTTGATTGGTTTCCAAATCAATTATATGATAATACACTTTGTAAACAGCTTTGGAAAAGAGCTCTTTCCTTAAAAACCCCCTTGCCATTTTTTTCCCTTTGATATCTAATTTTAGATTTTGTTTTTTATGAAAAGTTTCTAACTCTAGGCTAATCCCAAATAATCAATCTAACAATGAAATTTTAATAATTATTACTTGTTTTATAATTTGAAATCATATTTTCAAAATAAGAACTATATTTTAATCTAATATTTCTTAGCTGGGGACAAAAGTTATTGTCTCTTCTTTGTATGTTTGTTGGGATATTTTAATATCTTGGGACCATCTACAACAAATACCTGCAAATAAATCTTTCTTTTTTCTTCACTTTGTTGCTGTCTTTCATATTCACTTTCTTTATATTTTATTTTTGACTGGTTTATTGCTTCCGGTTTTATATTCTTAATAGTAATATCTAGAGGCAGGAAAATAGGCCAAATGGATCTATGGGATCTAAAGCTTTTCTTTTTTCCTTTTCTTTCTTTCTTTTTTTTGAGACAGAGTCTTGCTTTGTCGCCAGGCGCCAGGCTGAAGTGCAGTGGCGCGATCTCGGCTCACTGCAGCCTCTGCCTCCCGGGTTCAAGCAATTCTCCTGCCTCAGCCTCCCCAGTAGCTGGGACTACCGGAGCGTGCCACCATGCCCAGCTCATCTTTGTATTTTTTGGTAGAGACAGCGTTTCACCATGTTGGCCAGGATGATCTCATTCTTTTGACCTCATGATCTGCCCACCTTGGCCTCCCAAAGAGCTGGGATTACAGGCGTGAGCCACAGCGCTCGGCCCTTTGTAGGTTTTTGCGAACCTCGGCATTTTTCTGAATTGAGAAATTTCTTAATGTCACTATTTCAGTTACTACTTTGTAAAGGATCATAGATCATTTAACAAGTTTGCCTCTGACTAGTAAGTAAGGACTAGAAATAAGGAAGAAGAAAGCTGGCGTAATTTACCGAAAGCTGTGACTCTTACTCTTTTTTTTTTTTTTGAGCCTGAGTCTCGCTGTTGTGGCCCCGGCTGGAGTGTAATGGCGTGATCTCGGCTTACAGCCACCTCTGCCTCCTGAGTTCCAGCAACTCTTCTGCGTGGGCCTCCAGAGTAGCTGAGATTACAGGCACCGGCCACCACGCCTGGCCAATTTTTGTATTTTTACTAGAGACGGGGTTTCACCATGTTGACCAGGCCGGGCACCGTAGCTCACGCCTGTAATCCCAGCTTTGGGAGGCTGAGGTGGGTGGATCACTTCAGGTCAGGAGTTTGAGACCCTTACTATTTAAGTATGTTTTCTGTCTGGTTTTGAATTAATTACATAAGGAAATCAAAATCTACTACTCCTCTGGTTTTAAATTTATATGTAATTATTGTTTCTTCATTTCTTTTTCAGAACTCTTGATGTTTCAGTGAGCTTTAATGGAGGAAAATCTGTCATCTCAAGCTCATTACTTGTCACAGCCACAGAATGTGTAAGTAAAAGTTTGCATGAAGGTTACCTTTTAAAAGTAATCCTATCCAGAAATAATCTATGGATCCTTGGTGATGTTGCATACTACAATAAAGGAGTTGCAAACAATAACACTGGAGACCATTACAAGGAAAAATTTTGTATAGAATTGATTTGGGGTGGCATTGCTTTTTTTATGTTGAGCTCCCTTTTACAAGAGCTTTAAGGTAGTATGCATTTGATTTTGATATTTATAGAATTCGAAATCAAAATAAGGTAAGAGAATAATTTACAAATGAAGTACTTTTTTTCTTAAAACATTAAATATAGAAATTTTGTTTTCTTTTAGGAAGGTTAGATTTTAGTATGTAAGGCATGTGTCATGGTTTGAAATCAAATTATTGTATCTTAATATGGGACTTCATTATTTTGTTCATTTAAAATGTTGCTGCTTTCTGAATAAGAAAGTTGATTTTGATAGCTTGATACTAGCTTAGTTTGTAACCACATTGAATGTATATTTTAGTTGGGATTATTGATTTGCATTTCCTAAATGCAGATAAACTCCATTCAGTAGACATTTTCTTTCTTTTATTTAATTTTGTGGATTTATAGAAAGTTTCAATATTATATTATTAATCATGGAAACAGGAAGCACTAAACAGGACTGAACACGTGGCTATTATTTCTTAGCATATTTTGTAAAAACTATATAAATCAAAGCAAAAAAAGAATTCCTGCCCTCCAAAAGACCAAAGACTAAACCTAAACGTCTTCTCACATCTCACAGTTTCATGGTTTTATATTTTGATCTATTAATTCAGGAGACACCTTTCCAACAGAAAACAAAACAAAACAAAACAAAGCAATTCAGTGTTACCTGTATAGAGGTAGTTGTACTTCTCATTTTAAGACAATGTTGCAGAGAAAAGGACCTTGGGTCACTTTTTAGCTCCTTGAGTAAGTCGTTGCCAATACCTACTTCCATTTTGAAAATAGCTAGGGTTTTTGTTTTTGTGTTTGTGCTTTTTGGGGAGGATTTTTTCCCTCCTATTTCTAGCACATGTTGCAATTTGTAGGTTTTGTGGATGTTGCAGTTTGCTGGTTTTCTGGTCCCAGAGGATGTGGTTGAAATTACAAATATTTGTGGTTTGTAGTTTCTCCGTGTTTAGCTCACTGAAGTGGCATTCTTTCCTCATCCTTCTTCCTATTCGACACCTCCAAGCTATCTTTTTCCTCTTTTCTTCCATGCAAGCAGGAAAACAGGTCTTTGTTCCTATCCTGTAACAATGCATGATTTTCACGTACAGGGATCCTGAGGCTAAATGATTCATCTGGGATGTATAGGTTGTGTGCTTTAAAGAAGACTTTCAAGGTCTTACTCCTTCTCAGAGGGTAATATGACTCAAGGTGGCTTAAGAGTGGAAAGATTTCAGAAAAAGCATCATTGGTGTGTCAGTGATGAGGGGAAAGGAGCAAGCTGTAACAGCTAAGAAGGGGTCAAGGTGATTCTCACTAAGAAGGAAGGCTTTGAGTAAAGACTTGAAGGTAAGGGAGGGAGCCCTGCAGACTATCTAAAGAAAGTGTGCTCCACGCTAGAGCAAAGCCTCAGGTGACTGTCTCTGGCAAGTTTAAAGAAGAGCAAGCCAGACAGTGTGCTGGAGTGGAGGTAGTCAGGGAGAGTGGAAGTCTTGGGATAAAGAGGAAAGAATGGCAGGAGCAGGGCAGATCTTGTAACAGTGTGTAGTCATTATAAGGACCTGAGCTTTTCTTCTGAGTGAAACAGGAAGTCCTTGGAAGTTGACATGATTTGATTCAGTGTTTTTCAACTGTATGAAAACAGGCTTCTGTGCCTTTCTTACCAGCTTGATACGTCAGTGGCAGGGCTTGTGCTTACTCATTGCCCTTCTCCCACGACTGGTACTTACACAGAGCAGGTGCTCCAAAATTATTTCCCAAATGAATGATTGAAAGGAACCATATATCTAGTTTAAAATGGGGAAACTAAGTTTTAGATTTAAGAGACTTAAGATTAGAGTCTGAGGAGGATGTGTATTTAGGCAATCCTTTATCTTCTTTTCTCTTCAAAAGATCTTTAAAATGGATCTCTGCTTTTAAAAATATAATGGAGCCAGGCGTGGTGGCCCATGCCTGTAATCCCAGCACTTTGGGAGGCCAAGGCAGGTGGATCACGAGGTCAAGAGATCGAGACCATCCTGGTCAACACAGTGAAACCCCGTCTCTACTAAAAATACAAAAAATTAGCTGGGCATGGTGGTGCATGCCTGTAATCCCAGCTACTCAGGAGGCTGAGGCAGGAGAATTGCCTGAACCCCAGGAGGCGGAGGTTGCAGTGAGCCGAGATCGCGCCATTGCGCTCCAGCCTGAGTAACGGGAGCGAAACTCCGTCTAAAATATATATATATATATATATATATATATATAATGGAACGATGTCCCTTTTTTCTCCTGAAATCATTGATCTTCTTCTGACTCTTTTGTGATAACAATACCAAGAACCTGTTTGCTGAGCATGTACTAAGTGCCAGATGCTGTGCTCAGCACTGCTGTATATGTGCTAAGTCCTTTATGGCTTCATTTAACACTCAAAATCCAAGAGGAAGCTGTTAAGATTATATTAATTTTGCAGATAAGAAAACTGAGGAACAGGAAGCTACCTCTAATATTCAGTGCACAATTATCCAAACACATTAGAAGGTACTTCTTGTATTATGTGGACCCAGCCCTCAAAGAAGTGCATGGCTTGATGAGCGTTAACAGGCGACTTCAGTCCTTACTGCTCCTGAGAGAGGGATACTTGGAGCCTGGAGCCTCTGAAAGGTTGTTACTTGCCCAGTTTTGCACTCTAATAAATGCTAGAATTGAGAATTGAACCCACGTCTGTCTCCTCCCACGCCCTGACTGAACATTTCCACAGTCTGCCATTTTAAACCAGATTCTACATTGATTTATATAGGACAAGGGTTTGTGAATTTTTCCTGTAGAAGGACAGATACAGTAGTAAACACATACTTCAGGCTTTGGGGGCCATATGGTCTCTGTCACAACTACTCAACTCTATCATTGTAGTGCAAAAGCAGCTATATGCATTATGTAAACAAATGGCGGTGTTCAACAAAACTATGTATACTGACATTGGAATATCCTTCTTTTGATTTTTTCAGGTTTATATAATACTGTAAAAAAAGTGTGGGGTCTTATGAAATAGATTGGCCGGATTTGACCCTTGTGACATAGTTTCCTAATTCCTGACATCAAATATTCCAAACGAATCCAGTAAATTAAATAATCATCTGTTCCATGACTATATTTTCTTTCTCTAACTCAAATTCATGGAACAAAATTGTGGAGACCGATTTTCCCTTTTCTATGTCTGTTTCATCTAATCTGGCTGCTGTGAAGTCACTATTTTCTAGATAGACGGCAACAATAACAATTCATGCTCATTTGAAACTTTCATGAGGGATTCCTCTTTCCCATAGTTATGTTGCAAGGGCAGTAGTAACCCTGATTTGTTTTTACACTTCTATGATTCTCTTAGCTAGAAGTTTAGTTGTATTTGGCAGAATAAAGTTTTTTGTTGTATAACTTGCTTTTAGTGAAGAAAAAGAAATTAGATGCAGATGAAGTTCAAGAACGTTTTGTGTCTAGACTGACTAGAAAATATGTTCCTTCTACCCTGACATCAAGCTCTAAGTTCTGCTATGTCCCCAGTTAACCCTTAGAAGAATTTTGGCTTCATAGCCTTGACTGACACCTGAGTGTTGGGTCTCAGCTGGACTCCTCAGCTTTCACACCCATGTCTTCATAGACATCCGGAAATGCTACTTGTTCACAACTATTATTGGGAAGAATTGATACCAAAAAGGGCATATTGAAACGTCATCTAACAAATGGCCATTAGTCCAATAAATTACAGCTTTTCAGGAATTTGTGTTTGATTTTCTTTCTTCAGTCTCTTAAAAATGTCACTCAGTCCCCTCAAAGGCTGTGCTCCACCCACAATGGTCTTTCTCTTATTCTCGCAGGAAGCCACTATTTATGCCTACCCCTCTTCCACTCACCACCTCAGCCTTTTTGTACTTATTCCAGGAGGTCCTCTTAGAACCCCAGAGTAGGTTATTTCCCACTTTTACTGTTCTTATTGTATGTTCCCTCCACACTCTTCACCCTTGAAATTATTTGTTTAAGACTTGTCTCTCTAACCCGTGAGCTTCCTGAAGACTTATCCAACATTATAATGTTGGTACCTGTTTTTAGTGACTAGTAGGCATTGAGTGCTCATCAAATATTTTTTGGATGAATAACAACCAGTTTTAGCAACCGGTCATATGTATTTATTTATTTTACCTAGTTCAAGAACAATGACATTTGAGAATTAAATATTTATTAGAACTTTTGACCTGAGGTCTGTGTAAAGAGAGGCATGCCTATGTAAAACTGAGAAACTTATAGTTTCTGCTCATAAGATAGATCTATGTGTAATCAAATCTAGTTTCATACTCTTCTTTATCTGACTCTTAAGTCCATAGTTTGCAACACGGTATCTGATTACAGACCTGAATTCTGTGTGTTCCACCTTTCACCAGATGTTTATAAAGTTTTGTGCAAAATGAAACTGTTTTTCCTTCATGACTAACATCTTTCTTGCTTATCTGATAGTGGCTCTGGCTATCAAAACAAACACAATGGGAAAGCCTGAATTTGTATCCAGTTAACTGAACTGATGTCTGTGATTGGTGCGTTCAGGGCCTGTGTCATTCATACATAGATAGATAGATCGATAGATAGATAAAGAGATGGCAAGGCCAGGTAGCATTTTTTGTTTCCTCTGATCCTATTCCCATCATTCTTGAATTAAATGTTATGAAGGTTAGATCTGTAGGTCTTTAGAAAGTGTATAATTTATTTTTATTTTTTTGAGACAAGTCTTTGGAATCAGTTGAGATGATAATATTGTTATAATAAATGTATATTTGTATCTGGAGGTGCATGGTATTTTATCATTGCTACTAATAGAGGCATTTTTTAAGGGAAAAATCAATACTTTTAAGTATCTATCAGGACTAGCCCATCTATGTTATGTTCTGTCAGTGCAATTTTCTGATTTTCCTTTTCTTGGCACATACATAGAAGGAACAAACTAACCACTAAATTTTTAGCAGTTTCATGGCCTCTAGTTACATGTCCTTATTTCTGAACACGGGTGTGAATTCTAAGAAAAGGGGAAACCAAATGTTCATAGAACCCTTTTGAAAGTTGTATAGCACAGCCAAATGGTGTGCCGTTTATACGAGTGCTGTTTCTACGAGTGCTGTGGCTGGATCCTCATGTGGGAAAGGTCTGGTGAGAAATGTTGTCTTCCTTCTGTAGATGGACAGTCACAGATAAGGGCTGTCTTTCAGAAGACCATATTTTTGAAGGTGAGATCAAGATTTATACATTTGACAATATTTTTCCCATAGGGTACCACAGTTTTCCATGCATTTCTATGACATCCTTTTCCTGTTATATTCTTGTTCGCCTAGATTTTAGAGCTTAATGTATTTAAGCCTGTGGAGGGTAGCATGATTTGTTCATGAATATTTAGAATTTTGTAAAGAAAAAGGCACTTTTGATGTTTTTTTATAAGAACAGACTACTTAGGTATTTGCCTGGAAATTTCTATAAAGTATTAATCTTATTTCTCTTTCTCTCTTCTTTTTCTTTTCTTTCCTGAATTCTCTCTCTTAAAAAAAACACACACACACAAAAGAAAACATTATTACTGAGGATTCTAGAGATTAGGCATTTTGGAGAGACCTCTTGTTCCCTTGGCAACTATCTCTACAGTAAAAGTTCAGTAAACATTCTTCTTTGTATCCATGTCTTTTGCTGCCTTATTTATTTAGAGTTCATTCTCTCAGTAAGTAGTTTTTCAATGCCAGACATGGAGTGCTAAGGAGGCTAGATGTAGCCCCTGACTTCCTAGAGCTCACAATACATCATGGCAGAAAATAGAAATTAAACAATCACAAAACTCATAATTAATTGCACTGTGATAACTACTAAAGATTAAATTATAGAGAACTATTAATTGTTTAATCAAAGGGGCAATTTATAGTCAAAGGGTCCAAGGAAGACTTCCATGAAAGTGACTTAATATGAGCCCTGTAAAATGAATAGGTGGTTTTTATGTGAAAGGGTTTAGGAACAGAGCCCAGAGTAGGTGTCTTGAGGCTGGAAGAGCTCAGTACTTAGGAAGGGAAAGAACACCAGTGTGGTTCTTTGTAGGTCATACTTCAGCTGCAATGAGAAAACATCTGATTCATTAACACATGAGACTGTATTCTTGCGTTGATGTGTATATACAATTTGCCAACAAGAACCATTATTGGTTTGTCATCTACCTCATAATTTTTAAAAATATTCATCTTATTATGTAACTACATAAAATAAACAATGTTTCACTATCAAAAAGTCTGGAGGATTTTGCCTCAATTCTGCCTATGGGTAATTATGCTTTGAACCAAAATAATCCTTACGTGAAAGATAGGGACCAGCCTAATCCTGATTAGTAATTTTTCCTACATTCCTTTCAGATATGTGGGTAAAGAGTCTGCAGCATTTTGGGACAGTTTGTGTTTATTATTGCCTGTCACAACAACATAACCTAAAACATAATATATATTAAATGGAAGATAAATTTTCAGAATTTCAAGAAATTAAAATAATATAGTTAAAATCTAGTTTAGCTTTATGCTGTCTGCATTATTTCCCTAGTATTTCCTTAAAATATATATACATTTGGAATTTGACCATAAGCCTATGCTGACTGCTTTTTTTTTCTTTTGCCTGCTTTAGTCTAATGGCATCGCAGCCATCATTGTTATTTTGGTGTTACTGCTACTCCTGGGCATCGGTTTGATGTGGTGGTTTTGGCCCCTTTGCTGTAAAGTGGTGAGTAAGAAGGATTTGCAACACTACTTAAAAAAAATTAGAAGTTGGGTGTGGTGGCTCATGCCTGAATCCCAGCACTTCGTGAGGCTGAGGTGGGTGGATCACGAGGTCGGGAGTTCGAGACCAGCCTGGCAAACATGGCGAAACTCTGTCTCTACTAAAGATACAAAAAATTAGCTGGTCAGTTTCTTTTTTTTAAGTGCTCATTAAATTATTGATTTTCTCTTTGAAGGGTCTACCATTTCAGGACCTTCTCTGTTTGCTTCTAAAAATTTTTGTTCAGAAATTAGTCATACACAATTGTCAGGGTATTTGTTAAACAGCTACTTTTGGAGTAAGGATGGGGAGTTTCAGTTTGTGTCACTTTTTGTGTTTCTATAAAGCCTGTGAAAGAATATGGGTGGGTATCAGTCATCTATTGCTGCTGTAACAAATTGCCACATATGTGATGACTAAAAGCAACATAAATCTACCAGCTATCTAATCACAGCTTTGATGTGAGATTCGCTGGGTTTACCTGGACTGAAAGGTATTGGTAGGAATGTGTTTCTTTCTTAATGCTCTAGGGAAGAAGCCATTCATTTGTCTTTTCCGGCTTCTATAGGCCACTCATTTTCTTTGCCTCATGGACCCCTTTCCCCATCTGCAAACCTGATATGTTGCATCTTTTTGACCATTTTTCTGCACATCTCCCACTAACTCTGAACCTAGCTGGGAACAGTCCTCCAGTTTTAAGGAACTATGTGATTAAGTTAGATGCACCTAGATAATCCAGGATAATCTTCCATCTCAGGGTCCTGAACCTTAATCACTTCTGCAAAATCCCTTTTGCCATTATGATAACATATTCACAGTACCAGGTAATTATGAACAGTTTGGTAGAGGGCATCATTCTACACATTTCGAGCAATCCAATTTAGATTGTTCAGGTTTCATAGAAAAAGATATCTTAAGGGAGCTCTCTTTCAAAGCATGCCTACTACTAATTTTGAGAATATTCATTTTATTATAAGCACATAATATAGAACTTAATCTTCTGTAGCTCGTGGTAATGTTTTATATAATACTGCAAGACTACCTTCCCCCCCCCGCCCTCATGTTTGCTAACTGATTTCATCTACTTTGCAAATTTCAGATGTGTTTTGTTTTATCCCTGCATTTATTATTAGTTGTAGTTCAGTTTGCTTTCATGAGGCAACTTTACAATCCTTTATCTCAGAGCAGTTGGCCCATGGAGGAGGCATAGAATTAACTCAGATAACAGTAGAGACAAGAAGCATCCTGTCTCTTTGCTGAACTAATTAGTTTCCTGCCATAGCAATTTATGCTCAGTTTCCTGTTGTAATCTTGATTATCTAGTTACAGCTATTTTAGGGTGGCTAGCATACTTGAGTATCAAACTAAAAAGAAAAAAGATGACTTAATGCAAGTTGTGCTCCTTGGTTTTTTAATTGAGACTTTGTGGTGGTGCATTTTCTTTTCTTCCTTTTTTTTTTTTTTTAAATCACTTTGCAATTTCACTTAGTATTGACCAGAAGGCTCAGAAGTGTCAAATTGTATGATTTTTAAAAAGACACATGCAAAATGAAATGTGCTCAAATATGGGTTTTGACCATCATTTTGTATATTAAGAAGAGGATCCAATCATCAGGTGACTAGATCAGGGACTAGATCCTTGGGACTCTAAAATCTTGGACTCTACAGATCTCAAATCATGGAATTACTTTCTATAAGGCATAAATGGGCCTCTTTAATGGTGGAGTATCAGGATGTCAGAAAGGCTTCCTATCCTCAGAAACATCCTGAATGCTTATTAATTTTCTGAACTTATTTAATAGAGGAAACCACCTTTATTTAACCCTTAGAAATATAGATTAAAAAGCAATTAGCCCTTATAAGTTCATATAAGTATGAACTTATAATTATACCTAGGTATAACTGAATAATGGCAAACATTTGTAAAATAGATTTTAAAGCAGGAAGAAACGAGAGGTGAAATTCTGAATTCAGCCCTTGGTTAATATTGATTGATTATCTAGTAGGTGTCAGTACTGTGCTAGGAACTGGAGATACAAAAATGCTTATAATATGATATGGAAATTCACATTTTAATATGGAAACATAGAAATGTTTGCAAATAAGTGTAAATGGAAGGTAATGGAAGTCCCAGTAGTGACGTGTGTAAAGAACAATAGAAACATAGAGGAAGGGTTTGCAGAGACTGAAGGGAGCATTTCAGAGAAACCTGACTGAGTTGATGATCCCACATTTAGTTCTGAGTCCTAAATAAAATGTTGTCAGTTCATTGAAGGACATTGCAGATGAAGTGCATGTGGAAACATGAGTTATTCTGACATATTTTTAGAAGTGCTAGGCTGAGACCTACTGTGCTAGGTGAATGATGATTTGGGTTTTGGGACAAACCCATTGGGGAGGGCCTCCTATGTCTTGTAATAGAAAGTCTGGTCTCTTCCCAGGGATGATAAGCCACTGGAGAGATTTGATAGTCTAATTACCTGAAAGAAGCTTTGCTAGCTTCACAGTAGCACTAAGGTCTAGTCCTGGCAAAAATTATTTAAGACTGTATTCAACTGAGTTCCATCAACAATTGAAATAGAAAGGCAGAGACAGATAGTACACCTTAGGTATGGCCAGAATGAAGCACTTCTAACAAAGTGTAAATAGCTGGAATCTTAAACTGAAATTAAGTGAACTAGAGAAAAATAAAGGGCGAAAAGAAGGTGGAAGTGTGACAATAACCTTTTGGAAAAGAATCTTGAGTTTCCAGAGGGTATTGTAGTACCACTGCAGGGTGTTTGTTTTGTTTTGTTCCTTTTAGGTTATATTTGTGCAATGCTGAAATTAGAATGTGATGATTTAAATAACTCTTAGTAGCATTAAATTATTGGGGATCAATTTGACTTTGACTATCATTGCTAGTAACGTGTTTTTAACAGAAAATGAAATTCATTTATTTCAGCATGGTGTTTTGCAAATTTCTTTTTGCTTGAATGTGTTTTAAGAACTAGTGGCAAATATTTAAATCTAATCTTTCAACTGAAACATGACTAAACAGCTAAAAATGTCTGTTCTCAGGCACATTTATGGTGCGTCAGCTATCCACCTCCGTGAGCATTGTATGCTCAGGAGCTCTTATCAAGACAGAGAACATGGAAAAAAACTCCCTAAACAGAAGTCTCAATATCTGTCACATATTCTGCATTCAATCATTTCATGTTTTAAAAAATGCCAAAATGTGAAATATTGTCATATTTTATAACATTATTAAATCATTCATTGTCCAGAGTTTAAAATTTCATAGACATGTAATCAATGCGTTAATGATGACACTGTTACTTATATTTTAGACAGGATTCTCAGGTTTCTTTTTTCTGCCTCAAATAACAGAAGTCTTTCGGAACAGTGGGTATCAGGTTTCCAATGGTGGTAATTCTCCTGGAGAGGAAGGGGGTTGGGTAGACTGAGCAGCTCCAGAAGTCATACAGTTGGAAAAGCCTCCTGCAGTAAAGTGAATAAAGATCCCTAAAGATATCCAGGTCCTAATCCCTGGAACCTTGTATGTTAGCTGATATAGCAAAAGTTACTTTGCTATAAATAGTATAGCAAAGTAAATAAATAAATAAATAAATAATATAAATTTTTTATAGCAAAGTAAATAAATAAATAAATAATATAAATTTTTTATTTACTTTGTGATTAAATAAAAAATCTTGACATTATCCAGGATGATCTAGATGGATTGTAAATGCAATCCAAGACTTATAAAAGGGAGACAGAGGGAGATTAGACTATAGAGGAGAAGAAGGCAGTGTAACTATAGAGGCAGAAATTGGAGCAGTGCATCCACAAGCCAAGGAATGCTGACAGCCACTAGAAGTTGGAAGAGGCAAGAAACAGATCCGTCCCTAGAGCCTGCAGGAGGAACGAGCTTTGCCAATGCTTGATTTTTAACCCTGTAAGAATCATTTCGGACTCCAGGCTTCCAGAAGTATAAAAAAAGTTTGTATGGTCTTTAGACACTAAGTGTATGATTATTTGTTATAGTAGCAAGAAGATGTTCAGTATATCTTCCGAGTGTTTCTGATATTCCTCAGCGTTGGGGAATTTTTATGTTTTCAGATAAATTTGTTACAAAAAAGAAAAGAAAGAAACCTCCTGAACTTTGAGTACAAGAGATTGCAAAATGAGAGACAATGAAATATATATTTTTAAATACTTGCAATGGTATCAAGGCTATTAAATCCAATATGCATCCTTTGAAATTAGAATGACCCCTCTGTTTTATAACTGCAGTTAGTACGCATAATGCTTCATATACTGAGTACAATTTACTTACTGTCTTAGAGCAACAAGGGATTTTTGGAAGAGACTGATTTACAATTTTCAACAGTGTCCAAAGCACATATGTTATTAGAACTATTTGGCAACAGACATCCATGGATAGCTTTCTCAAGGGTGATATTATTTGCTAGAAGAGCTAGTACAGTTTCATTCATATTCAAATATTGAACTATTGAATCCCTTGAAAGCTAGAAATTGACCTTCATTCTATGAAGGTAAACAAAGAATTTAAACATTTGACTAATTATTGTATCTGTGAAACTATAACATATACCTGGTTAGCTGTACCAGTTTTATATCAGGAAAAAGAAACATCAGTCAGAAACATCCCTTCTAGGATGTTTTATGTTAAATTTTTAGTCAAAATTCTTATAACATTACCCTGTCAAGTGAGCAAATGGTACCTTTTTTCTGATACTTTAGTAAAATTAAGATTTCTCTCCCCTTTATAGGCTAATCACGAAGGCAGGTACTGTGTGTATTTACCCATCATTGTAAACCAGGCATGTTACACAGTGAATGCTTGTTATTGAATGCATCTTCTTGACCTATCCCAATTCTTAAAATTGAGAAAATTTATATTGATATACTTGGAAATCAAATTCAAAATAGAGTACCTTTTTGTTAGTTATAGTAAA